GCTGCACTGCAGGCAGCAGCTTTACCCATTATACCACAGCACCACCCCCTCCTCACTCCTAATTTAAAACAGAAACAGAGCCCTCTGTATCAAGCTGTGCTGTTCCGTGAAAATGTCTGATAGATGCCCCCTTACCTTTCCTCCACCTAAAATGCTGTTCCCCACTTGATTCTCTTGACTGCTTCTTTTTAAGATTTATTTTTAAAGATTTATTTCTTTATTTGAAATGCAATTACAGAGAGGCAGAGGCAGAAAGAGAGAGAGGGGGCGGGGGGAGGTGTCTTCCATCTGCCGGTTCACTCCCCGGTTGGCCACAACGGACGGAGCTGTGTCGATCCGAAGGCAGGAGCCAGGTGCTTAGCCTGGTCTCCCATGGGGTGCAGGGCCCAAGCACTCGAGCCATCCTCCACTGCACTCTCGGGCCACAGCAGAGAGCTGGCCTGGAAGAGGGGCAACCGGGACAGAATCCGTCGCCCGACCGGGACTAGAACCCGGTGTGCCGGCGCCGCAAGGAGCTGCTGTGCCAGCCCCTCTCCTCTCTTTCAAGTAGACTTTGCCTTCTCAGTGAATCTTACGCAGACCACCCCATGTAACAGGGCAGCTGTCTCTTCTCCCTCCTAGTACTCCTTATCTTCTTTACTCTGCCCTACCTTTTCTTACCCATCATTTCTGCTAATGTATTATAGAAGTGTTCAATTTGTGGCCCTTTAAAGTTTTTTTTTTTTTTTTAAGATGTATTTATTTACTTGAAAGGTAGAGAAACAGAAGAGTAGAGAGAAAGAGAAAGTTTTTCTATCCTCTGGTTCACTCCCTAAACAGCCATAACCGTAGGGGCTGGACCAGGCTGAAGCCAGGAGCTAGGGACTCAATCCAGGTCTCCCTTGTGGGTGTCAGGGGTCCCAGTACTCGGGCTGTCTTCATCTTCTTTCCAAGACATATTAGCAGGGAGCTGAACTGGAAGCAGAGCAGCCAGGACTCAAATTGCTGCTTCTGCAAGGGATGCCATCATTGCGAGCAGCAGCCTAACCCACTGTGCCACCACAGCAAGCCTTGGCCCTTTAAATCTAAGTGAGTGAAAATAATTTTTTAAAAAGTACATTATTTGTTTGCCACCTTTCAGGTGCTTGATAGTTACATCTGGGCAGGGCTTACTGTCCTGGGTAGGGCAGGTCAAGAATTTTTCCATCCCTGCAGAGACGTCTGTTACTTTGTAACTCTGCTGCAGTATTTATTGATTTGTTAGCTTAAAAAAAAAATTGAGGGGAGGAGAGATGGACAGGGAGAGAGAACTGTGTACTGGTTCACTCTCCAAATACCTGCTAAGCCCAGGACTGTGCCTGGCAGAAGCTGCCAGCCAGGAACTCAATCCTGGTCTCACAGGTGAGTGACAGGAGCCAAGATACGTGAGCCATCACCACCACCATCACCACCCAGGGTCCACGTTGACAAGAAGCTGGAGTTAGGTGCAAGAGCCAGGTATTGAACCCAGGTTGTCTGATATGACATTTAGGCATCTTAACCACTAGGCGAAATGCCTACATCAGCCTGTTAGATTTACTGTTTATTTTCTGCATTTCATTTGTAAAAATATAGATTCCACAAAGGTGTATAGATCTTTTTTTATTTTACTTACTGGTAGAAAATCTCCTAAAACAGAGCTTGGCACATAGTAGATGATCAATAAACATACATTTAACGGGATAAAATCACCATCTCATTTAAAGTAACTAAGATAATTGAATTTTTCTTCAACTTGCAGAGTTAAAATATTTGCAGCTGGCTTTTTTTGGCATGCCTGTGTGCTTGGCCTGGCAGCACATTATGTATTTCGTGTAGTTTATCTCATTTAATTCTTAAAATGGCTGTGCGTGTATGTGCATGTGTGTAAAATTCTAAAATCCCCATCTTAAAGATCAGGGAATAGTCGTAGAGAAGGTGAGAGACTTAACCAGGGACACTAAATGAGCCTAGTGGTGCAGCCAGAATTTAAACTCAGTGTAACTGACTGCCAGTGGCCAGAACCACACCAGTGGCCAGTTGTTCCAGTTTTGAGTTTTAGGTTCATTTGGGATTTTTGGCTTAAATCCAGCTTCTACTCAGCTGCTCATGGGAGAATTGAAGATAGTGAAAGTTTTTACAAAAAGGAAATTTTATACTTTAATGCCGAGTTGTCTTGGCAACACAGAATGAGTTTAAGAATCAAGTTTTATTTAAAACCTTGATTCACTTAAAATCTTAGTTTCAAAAAACCTAAAAAAAACTATTCATCCAGACATACTGACGTGAAATTCATTCTTAGAACTGCAGTCATAGAAGAAGATGTCAGCTGTCACTTCTAGATTGTTCTGACTGTAGCCTGTCTTATATTGGTTTGATCTCTTGGGTAGTTACATGCACTTTCTTATTTCCCAGTAAGTTTCTGTGTGTGTGTGTGTGTGTGTGTGTGTGAGTGTGCACACGCTGTGAAAGGTAACTTTATTTCTCCCAGGATCTTTGATGTTATTGTTAATGTGACAGTGATCTTAATCATTGACCCTAAAATGATTTAATCTGTTAATAAACAGGAATAAATTTGATAATGGTAAATCCTCAAGGAATGTTTCCTATATGCCAGCCACTGTGCTGACGCCTTTACAAGCATTGTCTCATGTAATCCTAACAAAAATTCTTCAAGGTAGGGATTGCTCACTCTGAGGTTTCAGAGACGGCCGATTAGTGACCGAGAGGGAAGCCAGGTGCTTCTCCTGGTCTCCCATGGGGTGCAGGGCCCAAGCACTTGGGCCATCCTCCACTGCACTCCCGGGCCACAGCAGAGAGCTGGCCTGGAAGAGGGGCAACTGGGACAGAATCCGGCGCCCCGACCGGGACTAGAACCCGGTGTGCCGGTGCCGCTAGGTGGAGGATTAGCCTGTTGAGCCGCGGCGCTGGCCAAGAGAGGGAATGTTAAACTTGCTTCTCCCTCACCCCGCTACCATGAGGCAGATTTCCTTGGAAAAGATTCTGCCACAAAGGACTTAGGGATAGTTGCTTTAGAAATATCTAAAACAAAGTAGGTGTGTTTTTATTTGTAAGACTCCACATTCTGTGTTAGAGTGAGGGGGTTTTAGGACATTATTTGAGTCAAGAGCAGTGCTTGTCAAACTGTTGTGCACTGGGATCACGTCGGGAGCACTTGGGAAAGACTGGTCCCTGTGCCCCATCCTGAGAGTGTGACTTGACTGGTTTGTATTGCCATGTGGTCATTGGGATTTTTACAAGTACTTCGAGTAACTGGCGCCATGGCTCACTTGGTTAATCCTCCGCCTGCAGTGCCGGCATCCCATATGGGCACCGGGTTCTAGTCCCAGTTGCTCCTCTTCCAGTCCAGCTTTCTGCTGTGGCCCGGGACGGCAGTGGAGGACGGCCCAAGTGTTTGGGATCTTGCCACCCACGTGGGAGACCAGGAGGAGGCTCCTGGCTCCTGGCTTCGGATCGGCGCAGTGCCAGCTGTGGCGGCCATTTGGGGAGTGAACCATTGGAAGGAAGACCTTTCTCTCTGTCTCTCTCTCTCACTGACTGTAACTCTACCAGTCAAATTAAAAAAAAAAAAAAAAAAGTACTTTGAGTAATTCTTTCTAAATTTTTTTTCATTTACTTATTTCAATTTTATTTGAAAAGCAGAGAAACAGACAGAGAGACAAAGTGATCTTCCACTTTCTAGTTCACTTTCCAAATGTTCTCTACAGCCAGGACTGGGCCAAGGTGAAACCAGGAGCTTGGAACTCAGTCTGGGTCTCCCACGTGGGTGGCAGGGACCCAAGCAGGTGAGTCCTCACCTCTTGCTTTAACCATGCATCAGCAGGAGGCTGGGTTTGGAAGCAAAGCCACAGGGCTCGAACCCGTGGCTTCCATACAGGATGTGGGCCTCTCAGACGCCCTCTAACTGTTGCTGCAAACACCTGCCTGTCTTTGGGTAACTAACATCCAGCTAGTGTTAGGAACCAGTGGAACGTGCCAGTGCTCCCTGCATTTGTCTGCACACCGGATCACCAGGAGCTTGAACAACTGTTGATACCTGTGCCTTCCCCAGAAGTGATGATTTTTCTGATCTGAGCTGTGGAGCAGATTTTGGAAATTTTGATTACCAGATGAGTCAGTTGTGTGGAAGAACTTGAACTTGAAGTTGGCTGTGCATTGGAATCACCTGAAGAACTTTTAAACCATGCGTTGCTCTGGCTTGCCTCACTCCGGTGTAACCAGATTTGTGGAGGTGGACCTAGGTGACAGTAATTTCTGAATCTCCCTGGGTGATTCCAATATGAAGCCCAAAGCAAGAGTTGGGTCTCTTCTATTCAACTACTTTAGTTTTCCCAGTCAAGATGGTTGAGGATGGTCTGGCACTGTGGCATTGTGGGTAAAGATATCGCCTGCAGTGCCAGCATTCTGCATGGGTGCTAGTTCAAGTCCCGACTGGCTGCTTTACTTCCAATCCAGCTCTCTGCTATGGCCTGGGAGAGCAGTAGACCTTGGTCCAAGTGCTTGGGCCTCTGCACCTCTCACTGTCTCACTCTGACTCTGCCTTTCTGTAACTCTGCCTTTCAAATAAATAAAAAATAAATCTTTAAAAAAGATAGTTGAAGAATGCATGGAAAGATGATTGTCAAAAAGAGACTTTTCCTTACGTAGGCAGTAATACGGAGTTCACTTTTGTAGACCAACATGCAAGAAAGCAGAACTCACAAATTAGGAAAAATGGTACATTTTGCTTTCCAAATAATTAGTTAGCAAATTGGTTTTGCCTGCTTGCTTAGCCCTAAAACTAAGGATGAGATTGCAGACTGATTTTTCTGACTTCCTAATTCTGGTACCCACCCACCCTGCCCTTGCTTTGTGTCCTTTGACCAGTATCAAAAATGACTTTGCTCTCTCTGATCGAAGAATCATTAAGAAAGAACGTCAAGTGGCGTCCTGCACGTGTCTGGTGTCTTGCTTAGCTTGTTGCTCTGCCCTGTGTCCTCCAGGGGTGCCAGGTGTCAACGCAGAGCGCTTTGAAGAAGGAATGGTGGTGAAGCATTGCGCACTGTCCCTTGTGGGAGAGCCGATAATGTACCCAGAAATCAACAGCTTTCTAAAGCTTCTCCACCAGTGCAAAATCTCCAGTTTCCTGGTCACAAATGCGCAGTTCCCCACGGAAATCCGGTGAGTAGTTCAGCCTGTGCAAATCTGCTGTGTGGGTCTGTGGTTGACTCCCGAGGAAAGCTAGTAGGCCTGAATGATGCACTCAGAGAGGATTTCTCTGTTACTTACTACATACGCATATTGGCCTTTGGAAGCAGACGTGGTCCTGCTCTTCATAATCCATTCTATTAGGGAAGATAACATTGGTTAAAACAACAGACACAAATATCAATTGCTGGGGAAATTCAAAAGAATGCAATTTTTATAAAATTTTCCAAGTGGGAGAAGCAAGGTAAAACTTCTGGAGAAGCTGTCACCTAATTTAGATCTTAAAATATGGCTGGGATTGGTACTTGGTGAGGTAGAAACCTGTATTTTTTTTAAATAAAGAACCTCCCGAGAAAGACATGGAGTTAGGGTGATTGTGAACTATTGTATAAGCACGTGCTTTAATAAATTCATGGATAAATGGAATTAAAAGGTAAGTCTGGGGGCAAGCATTGGCAGAGGGGATAAGACAGCACTGCGTTGGAGTCCTGGCTCCACTCCACTCACGATTCTGGCTTCCCACTGAGGTGGACCCTGGGAGGCAGCTGGTGATGGGTCCCTGCCACTCATGTTGGAGGCCTGAATTGAGTTCCTGGCTCCTGGTCATTTGGGGAGTGAACCAGTGGGTGGGAGATCCCTCTCTATCTCTTTCTTCCTCTCAAATAAAGTAAGTTAATTAAAAAAAGAATCTTTATAGAGGTGCTTGTTTTACCACAAAATTTTTTTGAAATCTGTGCCAAGTTTTTTTTTTTATAATACATATTTTCATGAGATTTTTGAATATCCTTAGTATGAAAGGATTTCAAAATTTTGCACTAGAATACACTTACCCTTCTTATAAAAAATTATTTTATTTATTTGAAAGGCAGAGTCACAGAGAGAGAGGGAGAGAGAGGGAGAGATAGAGAACTCTTCTATCCACTGGTGTACTCCCTAAATGGCTGCCATGGCCAGGCCAAAGCCAGGAGCCAGGAGCTTCTTCCAGGTCTCCCACGTGGGTGCAGGGGCCCAAGGACCTGGGCCATCTTCTACTGCTTTCCCAGGCCACAGCAGAGAGCTGGATCGGAAGTGGAGCAGCTGGAACTTGAACTGGTGCCCATATGGGATGGGGGCATTGTAGGCAGCAGCTTAACCTGTTAGGCCACAGCAGTGGCCTCTGAATTCATCTTTTAATTACACTTTCCATGAGCTTTTTGAAGCATCCTCCTGCAGTTCATTTGGGTCACAGAGTGTGGAGCAGCAGCTGGAAGTCAGGTTTGAAAGGTTGGGGGTAGCATGTGGAGGCCTTCAGTTGCGCTTCTTCAGGAAGATCTTGCTTCCTGCAGAGTAACCTGCGTGCATGGGATAGAATGGGAGGTAGTAGAACCAGGAAACTAGATGGAGCTGCTTTTAGTTTGTTTAAGTAAGAGTTTTGAGGCTGGAAATAAGACAGTGAGAAGGAGGAGTCTTTAAAAAAGATATTGCTGAGGCCTGAGAGATAAGATCTGTAAGCTGTGTGGCTCTGAGAAGGCACCGAGGCTGAGGACTGCTTGCTTGCTCTGAGAATTCAGCCGTGATAACTCCTAGCATTATGAGCCCGTCACAGTGGAGGGTGTCCTGTTAGCAAGGCTCAGGCTTGAATGGGAAAGTGACCAGGTGGGCTTGGATGACTTGGAGAGGGGTTGTCTATGTAGACATGACTGGAGGCAATTTGCTCAGATCTTGAACACAAACATGTAAAAATGGAAGGGCTCCATTCCATAAGGAATAATTAGAAATGAAAGAATGCAGGGCCGGCACTGTGACGGAGCAGGAAAAGCCGCCGCCTGCAGTGCCAGCGTCCCATGTGGGTACCAGTTCGAGTCCCGGCTGCTGCACTTCCAATCCAGCTCTCTGCTATGGCCTGGGAAAGCAGTGGAAGATGGCCCAGGTCCTGGGGCCTCTGCACCTGCCTGGGAGACCTGGAGGAGGCTCCTGGCTCCTGGCTCCTGGCTCCTGGCTCCTGGCCTCGGATCAGCCCAGCTCCGGCTGGGGAGTGAGCCAGCGGATGGAAGAGCTTTCTTGCTGTTTCTCCCTCTCACTGTCTATAGCTCTACCTGTCACATAAATACAATACAATAGTAAATAAAGTATAAAATCATAAAATAAAATATGGCCTCAGTCCTTGGACCCCTGCCACCCAAATGAGAGACCCGGAAGAAGCTCCTGGCTCCTGGCTTTAGACCAGCCACCTCCAGCCACTGAGGCCATTTGGGGAGTCAACTAGCAGATGGAAGAAATCTCTCTCTCTCTCTCTCCCTCTCTCTCTCTTTCTCTCTCTTCTCTCTGTAGCTGCCTTTCAAATAAATAAATAAATCTAAAAAAAAAAAATGCCAGGAGCCGAAACTCAGACTAGTTCTTCCGTGTGAGTGGCAAATGTCCAAGTACTTGAGCCATCACTTGCTGCTTCTCAGGGTGCTTATTAGCAGGAAGCTGGAGCCCTGAGTGGAGCCAGAACTCAAAACCGGGCACCCTGATTTGGGAGGCAGGCATCGTAAGCATCGTATTGACTGCTATGCCAAATGCCTGCCCCCTTTTATGGATTTTTGTTGTTGTTTATTTTTTAGCTTCATTGGCTTGAAAGGCAGAGAGAGAGAGAGAGAGAGAGAGAGAGAGAGATTCCATTCACTAGTTCACTCTCCAGGTGCCTCCAATAGCTGAGGTTGGGCCAGGCTGAAGCCAAGAACCGGGGACAGCATCCAGATCTCGTATATGGGGTGACAGGGACCCACGTAATGAAGCTGTCATCTGCCACCTCCCAGGGTGCACATTAACAGGAGTGTGGACTGCAGTGGAAGTGAGACTTGAACCTGGTCGCTCTGCCGTAGGATGCACATGTCCCAAGCAGTGGCTTAATCTGCTACACCACAGTGCCTGCTACCCTTTCTGCTTCTTTCATTCTTCAAGCCTTAGCAAAGAGCCTAATCTTAAGGGTGCCAAGGTTCAGGAAAAGAGGATTAGAAGCTGGGTTGCCATCCTCTTTAAATTATATCCTTTTTTGGACACAGGAGAGACTACGTAGGAAGCAGCCATTCTGTGCCTGCATGTCAGAGAGTTTGCGTGTTTGGAACCTGTTGAAATACCTATCCAGATTTAGACAGAAACAAAGCCCGGGTTTTGCTAGAGTCCTGGAAGAACTTGTTCCTGAGAGTCGTGGGAATGGGCTGCAGAGCATACTCTTCTGCTGTGTGTTTCTCTGAAGCAGGGCAGTCCTGCTGGCTTGGAAGGATGTGTGAGCCCAAAGGGGCCGGGGCAGGGGGCAGCCCTACACGTAAGGCAACCCACCTGTGCTCATCCTGCTCCAGTGGAAGATGTGCGTCAAGTCCTCCTCCTGTATCTGCAGATTGTACTGTGTAGATGGAGAATATTTGGACAACGAAGATCGTGCCTGTACTGAACATCACATGACTCCCTGAACAGTGCACGTACGCCGCTTTGACACTGCATTATGCAGTGGCAGTCACCTAGAGGCGATTGTAAAGTGTACGGGAGGATGTGTGCAGGTTGTATGCACCTACTGCGACATTTTGGGCAAGGACTCGAGCATCTGCAGATTCTGGTGTCTGTGTGGGATGCTGGAACCAGTCCCCTGTGAAGGAATGACTAGTTCAGGAACACACACACACACACCCCAGAAACAAGCCTTACAACTAAGAGCAGTGAGGGTTGCCATACCCCAGATACTGTCATATGTCATAAAACTAGAAGCCTCAGGGTCGGGTGCTGTGGCACAGTTAGTTAAGCTACCACTTGAGACACCTGTTTCCCTATCAGAGTGCCAGTTTGAGTCCTGGGGGCCCTGCTTCTGATCCAGCTCCCTTCTAACATCCCTGGGAAGGCAGTAGAAGATAGCCCAAATCTTGGGTCCCTGCCACCCATATGGGAGAGCAAGAAGAAATTCCAGGGTCCTGGCTTCCGCCTGGCCCAGCCCTGGCTGCTGGGAGCATCTAGGGAATCTCCCACTCTCACTCTCACTCTCCTTCTCCTCTCCCTTCTGTCACTCTTAACTTGCAAATAAATGAATAAAAATTTTAAAAACTCAAAGATTCAGAAAACCTGGAGCACAGAATAACAAAACAAATAGTTTTTTGAGATTGCCTCTGCTTTATTTTTTAAAGTTCTCTTTATGGCCGGCGCCACAGCTCACTAGGCTAATCCTCCGCCTTGTGGCGCCGGCACACCAGGTTCTAGTCCTGGTCAGGGTGCCGGATTCTGTCCCGGTTGCCCCTCTTCCAGGCCAGCTCTCTGCTGTGGCCCGGGAGTGCAGTGGAGTTTGGCCCAAGTGCTTGGGCCCTGCACCCCATGGGAGACCAGGAGAAGCACCTGGCTCCTGGCTTCGGATCAGCGTGGTGCGCGGGCCGCAGCAGCCATTGGCAGGTGAACCAATGGTAAAAGGAAGACCCTTTCTCTCTGTCTCTCTTACTGTCCACTCTGCCTGTCAACAACAACAACAACAACAAAAATTAAAAAGGAAAAAAAAAAGAATGTAAATGTAGCAGTGTCACTCAGACTGGGGGTGACTGGACAGGAAGAGGCTGTTTCTGGTGAGGAAAAGCCCTCTCCATCCACCTACACAAGTGTTTTTTATAATGACGTTTTTGATAGGAATGGAATGGACACATTTTAGCATGTATCAGTTACCTTTTGCTGGAACAACCCACCTCAAACTGCAAATAACAGCCATTTATTTAGCTCCTAATTCTGCAGATTACCTGGGAGGTCTGTTGGTCTTGGCTTTGCTGGTCCCAGGGTTGCTCGTGTGTCTTGTCAGTTTGCAGACTGGTGGGTTTGCTAATGGGCTTGGTTGGGACGACTGGGGCCTCTGTTCCCACAGCCTCCTACCCTCCAGCAGACTATTGCAGACTTCATCACATGTGGTAGCATCTCAAAGAGCAGAAAGAGGAGAGAGGCTCCGGTGCTCAAACATTTTTCAAGCCTCTGTTTCTATTTGCCTG